CTTGCAGTTTTCGGCTTTGTGTTAATTTCGATTCAGCTTGGCTGGTTCTTACGACCTGCTAATTGGTTTTTTTTCCCACGCACTGTTCCTGGCTACTCGCATAACGAGACACGAACAGCAGCCAGCCAAGACTCCTAGCCAGCTACTACTAACTATACTAAGAATAGTTTTTCACCGATAACGTGCTTGCCAAGCGATATCTGGAGAATAGGGAACAGTAAACAGTGGAACAGTGGAACGATGTTTTACTGCATGACTAACAGATTGCGTCCTGTCTTAGAGCGCGCATCTTAGCGTTTTGTTAGGGTTAGGGTTAGGGTTAATGTCCTCATGGCGTGTACTACATGTACCAGTTGACCAGCTACGACTCTTCAAAAAGTTATTTGATTCTTTACGAAATCACGCAAACAACATCGAAGTAAACCCCCAGGTGCCAACTTGAAATGAAACGCAGCAACCTTTGTCAAGCTGTCAACAACCTTCCGATTACTTTTACACCCTTGCTACATTTCCATTAATATAATTTGCTTTCACGAATGCCCTTTTCATGTACCACCAACTGGCCAATAGAGTGCTTGTCACCAGGTTGACAGTTTTATAGCAACATCGTGACTAACTCGCATCCCGAAAGCGCCGCAAATAGTCACTTGCTGTCGACACCTTTGTTCCATCAAGATGGATAAATCCAGATTCGAGGCCTACGCAAAACTCCTCCAACTGAAACATGGCAGACAGATTGAAGACGCCTCGAGTTTCACTGAGATAGTGGGCGAGCTGGTGGACTTATTTGATCTCGATAGCGCAGACTCTTCTAACGTGAACTTCTTGCTATGCTTCAACGAGGACAAACTGAGAGAGCCTTTCTCGACAGACTGTCGGAATTCATTGCCAATCGGAAAGGAGGCCGCTACGTCTCATCATCTTTAATGCTCGAATGGCCAGATAACGTGGACATCCTTGTGGCAAGAAATAATGGGATCAAGGACAAGGATCCGACTGCTCAGTTACTAGCGACTATAGCTTCAAGCTTGCGACATCTCTTGTGTTGATCACCAAGGTAGGCCCAACCAGCCTTACTCCTTTCCCTTTGACGAGACAGCGAGCTAATAACAGCGTATACTAGATCCAATCGCCATTGATGCCATGCAAAATCCTTGGAAAACATTGATACAATCATATGAAGTCCGGATAAATGACTATATAGTTGAAGCTAGGCAAGCGCTCAAAAAGACTGGCTTACGTGCTCCTGGAGATGTGGTTCCGGGTCTGTATGATTCCAGGTCATCTCTTCTCTTGAGGCTCGAGAATTTTCGAGTTTTAATAAACGATATACGGCGGGATGATCATGAGGAAGTGATTCAAAGCGCTTATGACGTTTGCCACCTTCACAACATGAAAGAGTTCGAGAGTATTTTCGACTCTATTTCTAACTCGAGGACACTCAGGAATGCACTCGGCTTCTTAGGCAGGCTAAAGACGTGCTTCAAAACTTTGGTCCAAGGCGCAGAACAGCTTACGAACTTCCGGGAACTCCGAATACTCTCGGTAACAATATCACACCGGCTTGCGGAGATAGACAGGAAAAAGCAACACCAGCGGACAACTGGTCTGTAGCAAAATCTTTCTCATCTCTTGGTCTCAACCTAGACGATCAAACTGTAAAAAAAGTCTTTGGGACTGGGAGAAAGGAGCCTTGGACAAAGAGGAAATTACTCTTAAAATTTGAGATGCTGAAGTCACCAACTTCTGAGATGCATGCAGAAGTACAAGTTATTTTGGCAGCAACACGGCATGACTGTACAGGAGCATCCACATTTAAATATGTGGGATTTAGCAAGCGAAGCTGTTTTTTATGCTTTAGGTTTGTGGAGAGATTCGGGCAAATTTTAACAAGGGGATGCCATGGTAAGATCTACAGTCTGTGGACCTTGACCGAAGTTCCATGGCTTGCCGAGTAACAACGCTCGAGACTGGTGCAAACTCTTATAGACATAGAGAAAGATATGAAGGATATCTTACTGAATAAGAAGACAAGAAAAACTCCCCATGCGCAGGAATCCACCGTAGGAGGCTCCTCCATTACAACCGTAAGGCAACAATTTGAAAACCCTTACGTGATGTCACTCGTCTCGCAACACCTTAAAGTTCAACACAGACATATGTTACTTGTCACTAGGAAGCAAGGTAATAAGGCAGCCTCAAGGTTCGTCACGCTGCTACCACTTCAAGTATGCTCCACTAACAGAATTTAAGTGCCGATTCTGCGAGTGAGAATGGGTATGACACTGCTGGTGACGGTTTTCTTCCTGAGAAAATGCAGAATCCACCTCCAGGAAGTACTGCTACATCTGTAATGGTACAAGGCGAATGTAAATCCTGTTACCGAGAGACTTACCGCCATTGTGCCCACTGTAATCAGGATTGGTTTCGCAGCCAGGAGTGTCAAGATCGCATGTCCCTTAATCACCTTGCAAAGTGTTCCGCTCGTCCGATAGCAACAGCCGACATACTATACGATGACATTGGAAAAAACAAGTTTCTAGAAGACGGAAAAGCCTGTGAGGCCTTTGGGTTTAACCGATGTTCGCACTGGAGAGAAGAATCTCACCTCCTGGGCCTTTACCGGGGTTTTCTTCTTTACCTCCAAGACCCCGAAATTAACCCGGTCAACCTGAATGAATGGCAACAAAATGGTTTACTTGCGACAAGGATCATTGAGAAGTTTTCCGCAATTCCCGAAAAGAGCCGAGGTACTTATTTCCCATGGTTTTGCGAAATCAACAACTCAAAACCATCACTCCGGCCTGACAGCAAATCCAATCCAATTGCACTTGCTCTCGATGCCGCAAGGCCCTCTCTTGAGCCCGGAGATCGCGATAAGGACCCTCGCGAGCTAGAGCCGCTGGAAAAAAGGTATTTTTTATTTTTTATGCTCTAGCACTGGATGGCTGCACCCCAAATCCAAATTGGGTGGAAAGATTTGTGGTATGATTTTGGCTTCGTGGTGTGAACCGACGAATATCACGAGGGGTCTCTCGGGGCTCTCTATACCAAGCTAATCGGTGGCGACAATACTTTCCAGTGACTACGACCAAAGCCTAGGGGTTATGCCCAAAAACATTCCCAGTTTACCTACCTGCTCCTTTGATGAGATCTGGCGTGCATGGCAAAACAGCACAGCGGAGCTATTCGAAAACGACGGCAAAGGCAATTTATTAGATGAAATATCGGGGTCGCTAAGAGAGTTTATGTCCTACCCAGTGGAGAAACATGGACTACGCCCTTCAGTGTGGAGATTTAAACATCTCCTGGCTTTAGATGATAACACACCATCAAGTGGCTTTCCAGAAATTGAAGCTGCTGCACAGGACTATGGTTTCAGGTCGCAGCTAGATGCAAGAACCAAAATGGATCTACGCCAATTCTACCGACAGTTGCTTAAAGTGGGTGACCCGCTTGAGGTCCACAAGGCAAAGGAAAGGGGTGAGTTGCTGGATTACGCGGAGATTTTATTTGGAGATATCGACAACAGAGTGCGTGATGTGTTGGTGGAAATGAGTTCCACGAGGGGGGCTTAATGGCTAATAGAGTCACTTGTCGTATCTGGTGAAATTTTTCTGAATTATACGATACAACACTTAGAAACCCACCGACGTGGTCCCTGACGATACCCAAGCCAAATGAGTGCTTCCTGGCATTAAGGCTTGAGAAGCAGTAGAAGAGTGAGAGGTGGTCATACCAATTTCTGGAACTACCTACAACTCTTGAAAAAGGTACTTGTATCATAGCCACACATGGATTGCCAAAGGAATTAAACAGAAAGGCAAGGTGGTTACCTGTTCGTTCCATGGCTAGCATTGTTCAATAGCAAAGTTATACTTGGCTCAGCCTCGTCAACAAGTTGGCTTAAAATCACTGTCACGTTCAGCTACCTACAAGCACTAGAGCATTCCGTTACTTCATCTAGTTAGCTTTGACTCCCAATTCAAGCTTAGGCCCCAATTTGCTTTTGTGCATATTCCTCCCCCCCTTCCTCAACCCCCTGGGGATCTTGGTTGTCGCGGTGTTCACTTGGTACTGGCCAGCGCTGTGCAGGTTCCTTGGTCACCGCTTTGGTGCTCCCCTTCCGCAAAAAAAAAAAAAAAAAAAAAAAAAAAAAATAGGCGTTAAAGAACTCGGGGGGCTGTATGAATTGGCCATGACCCAATGGAGACGTCTATTGGTGCTACCAACAGACTCCTTAGTCACAATGATTTTACATTTCAGCCGCCCGGGTAGAAATGGCGGCGGCTGAGGCGATGCTGAATGAGAGACATCCCTGTTTGCCCAACTCACGAAATGACGATAACACATATATTTTTGGTCGGATTCATGATCATATGATGATGACATTTTGTATGAATACTTAGTAAAGCTGTGTAGAAGAGAAGTTAGAGAAGTATATGTGCTGCGGGGTTATTGTGAGTGCGCTTAAAGTAGCAGAGTGTAGCAGAGTTGCAGTCATTAATAAGGAATATAGTTGCAGTGTAGGGTTATTTCGAATTCGAATAGTATAAGGCAATGGCGATGATGCCCAACCCAGACGAACAGGAGTTTACTGACAGTAAGAGCATCTCCCCTTCAAGTAGGTGTCAGACACTGTGGGCGGCCGATTGGCCAGCGCCGGAATGCAGATTTTAACCAGTATGAAGACAACATATATTACAGTGAAATTTGTAATCTCTATAAAAAAATAATTCATTCCAAGATCTAATTCCTGTCCTTCCGTTGGCTGATGAATCGGAAAAATCGGAAAACCGCGACCGTTGATGAATCACATGCGTTACTTACGCATATCACGGCATCAGACAAAATCCTCAAGTACCCACAGGCGCCCCGGCCCTGGGGTTGTTATATACAGCCTTTTTTGCTCACTTCTCTCAACACAAAAAAACCCTCCCAGAACCTGCCTGGCAAAGATAACTTGAAATCAATGCCTTCAAGTAAAGGGAAAAAAAGAGTGAACCCTACCTGATTCGAACAGGTAACCTCTAGCGTGGGTGTTAGTAAAATTTCGACCGTGGAGAATGATTGGTCCTTACTCAGGATGTTCCTCAAGAACTCAATCTGAGCCGCTGGAATCTGACGCGCTACCGTTGCGCCAAGGGTCCGAGACATGGTTGGGCGTCATTAAAGTGAATCATGGCCTCTTTTCGATTGGAGGGTGAAGCTTTTCGTAGAAATGAATCGCAGCGGTACTTGGAACTTGCTCTGTTAAGATATATACATATTGTTGCACTACCAGAGACTAGTTACTCAGTATCCTGTATTAATTCACTTCAGTTAACTGGGGGCACATATACATATTTCCAGAGCCAATTGGCTGAAGTAAATCCCGGGCGTTCAAACAATAGTTCCCGGAAATCGCGGAGATCTGGATACTGATCGGTGGCGTTGTTGCAACGTTGAGCGCCTAATAACAGTCATGTTTGTTATGGTTTTTCTACCTGTGATGGCCTTAGATGTAGGCGCAGCAGCCGGGAACCTATAACAGTCTTGTAATGGCTAGAATATCGTAAGAATTATATAATCATATAATTTATAACTAACTATAGGTAACTAATGAAACTTGTTGGACTTATAATAAAATTTCTTCTTTTATGTGTTAATTTCTTTATTTAAATTAACACTAACACCCCTTAATTATTATATTATATTGTTGACGTAGTGGATATTAAGGCTGACCAAACTGATGTCCATGCAAGTGGCTTTTTGGTAATTTTCGTGCTCAGATATGTAACTATTGTAAGTGGTACATTATTCACATGCATATAAGCGCGAGTTTTGTCTCGTAGGGCTTTCTAGAGCCTCCAACGTATATAACTTCTATTTTGATGGCTTCATAACCGGCTTGCGGCCACACCCACCTGGTCGCTTGAGAGAAAAGGCAGAAATATAGGAATAGGAATTGAAGAAGCTTGACAGACGAGACATGAAAGGTAAGCTTAAACTGGCATAAATAAATGACAGTTCAGTCTGCCGAGTAACAGAGCCGCAAAACTGCCCAATTAAGGCATCGCGAGATATCCATGAATCCAATTCGTTTAAAATTAGCCCTATCTGTGTCGCGAATACGAGGCTTAATTAAGGGCTCTATTAATACAATGAGCCTTTCTTTCTTCCTCTATTCCCTCAGCAGAGGGACACTAGATATGCGCACCCATATCAACACATTCATCGTATTTCGACAAAATGCCCGCCTCAGCCTGTGCAAATTCGCGCATGATTGTTTCTTTCCGCTCAGCTGAGCGCACCGTCACCTTGCATGGGAATTGTTTAGGGCAGGTCACCAGTCCCTCGATATACCCAGTATCAGGGTCGGTGTCAGGTACCAGAGGCTGTCCACTGACGGGATCTGTCTGCTGTTCGAAATTGAATGCCCAGAGGAGCATCGACATAGCAATGAATAGGTCGCGCTCCGCTATATGAATGCCCGTACAGAGACGTCGACCAGCTCCATATGAATAGTGGTCACGATTATCGTGATCGGCAACGCCTACATATTCGGATGCTGGTAGCATTTTGTGCTCGTACCGGGTTGGGTCAAATTCCTGCGAGTTCGGATAAAATTTCTCGTCGTGGTTCAGTCCCCAGATGTTGAGGACTAAAATAGTGCCCTTGGGCAAGAATTTTCCATCCACCCATACATCTACAATTATTCAGAATACGCAGCAAGTAAGCCATACGCACAAAGAAAATAAAATATGAATGGATACCTTGATCAAGGAAATGCGGCATGCCTAAGGGAGCCACTGGCCTCCATCTCACGCACTCTTTGACAAGAGCTGCGACATATGAGAGACGGCCATAATCCTCCCAGGTCGGAGTGCGGTCTTCACCAATAAGCGAGTCAATTTCCTGTTGTGCTTTTTTCTGGACTTCAGTCCATTTGGTCATTGCCTGGATAAAAGAGATAATAAGCGCAGCAGGAGTCTCTGAACCGCCTTCTACCAGGCCACCTCCAAGAAAAGACAGCTGGTGAGGACTGAAGCCTAACTTGTCGTTGTCTGCCAGGAGCCTGTCCATAAAGGAGTCCTTGTGGCCGAATTTTTGCCGACGGTTGATGACGTGTTGAAACATGGGTTGATGTAACGATTCCATGATGTCTTTGACATGAGTAGACCTAGTCATCCAGTTTCCGAGCAGTCGTTCAGGAATCCATTTCAAGAAAGGATAAAGGTCAACTGGTGGGGTGGCCCCTAGTTCCAGAAGGGCAGTGAACTCGTCCAGCATTTCGTACAATCGTTCCATGTAGATTGCATGGGGAGAAGTAATCCGTATTCCGTACACTGAAGAACAAAATGTTAGCGGGCATATTTATGAAAGAAATCAAGGACTGAAAATCTTACCAATGCTAGTGATGACGCTGTTGCTATATCGCCTTGGATGAAGCATGTAATCACCCGGTGCAGCAATAAAATCTCTAAGCATCTGAACAGCCTCGGCATGTTGGAGATGCACATGGTGTTTGTCACACACGGATTCCATAAAGCACTGATGGATCAGCTTGCGATACAATCGCCACATAGGCCCGTATTCAAGGGTCAGAAGGTGATCTCGCTTGCTGATAATCTCCTGCACAATGTACGAGGGGGGGCGGTTGCTGGCAATAGAGCCCTTTTCTTCCAAGAGTTCTCGCACAACTCGTCTCTCGTTGATAATAGCCATGGTGCGATGGCCAGCTTTGACGGTGTACAAGCCGCCGTAGGTTTTGGCAAATTCCGTGTATCTGAAGTTTTTAGTATTTGTCGTCAGGCCCCATTCTTTGTGTTCTTTTAGGAAGGAAAGTTCACTTGAGATGAGATCGCCTCCTGGGGATCTGATGGAGATTTCCAATAAATGGGAGCGTTGGTGGGCCTTGATGAAAGTTAGCTGGTTTTCAATTCAAACTGGGGTGAGGACGAGGCCACGGACCAGGGGGTAGGCGTGCATCTCTACTACCCACAGTCAGCAAGACGTAAGCCAGTCCAACGAGGATGCCAGCAACGGCAACTGTCACACCGGTAGTCATGGTTTGCGACGTTCTATATTAACACCAGATCGATATGTACATAACCGGACTTGAGAGTTGAGAGTTCAGATCGGAAGCCCTCGAGAGAAACACGATTCATTCTCAACGCGTCTTTTTATGCAGGCACTAAGTAAAGGCTTCGCCCGTCAAAAACCGACAGAGACAAAGAAATCTATTATCTGTGTAGCTTCCCTTTGTGTGTTGGGTGGCCTGGTCTTTGTTAAGCGGCTTGCAACTCTTTTTTGCTCCATTAGGAAATTTGGCCTGTACATCCTTCCCTATCCTTCTGTCGATAGTAGAATAACGATATGAAAGAATAGGATCGTGTTACATCTTTTCATATAAATAGTCCTATACTCTAAATTTATTTATGAAGAGATTTTTTAATATATGTTCTTATTTAATTATTTAAAATCCTTACTCTGATGTTGTCCAATCGGATACATACAACACTGACAGGTGGCACCCTGAATCTAGTGTTTCCTAAAACGGAAAATACTACATAGGTATCCACATTATTTCTCTTTAAAAGCTCATACCGTTGATGAAGTTTTGATATGAACTACGTATATAAAAAGTATATCAAAGAGAAAAAATGAAAAAAGTTTAACTCAGTCACTACACATCCATAGATCAATCAGTATCATGGCTGCAAACCTATATCATTACTAATAAAGTTAATCTAACAATAAAGCTTTTTGAGATAAAATATATCTTATATAACACTAATAGAAGCACCTAGATAGATATAGAGAAATTAGTTAACCAAGCATGGTAGTATACTAAGACTAACTATCACTCCCACAAACTTCCTCCTCCACCTCACAAGGCCCAGAGATAATCCAAATCCATATAATTATTAATTACATAATAGATTCCAACATCTAAAACAATAGTCATTCTAAAAATATCTATTTTTCTCAATATCTAAAATTATAAAGCTTAATATATAAATCTTACTATCAGTAACAAGTCCATGAGAGTGCAAGAATAATAAATAGCCACCGCCAAAAACATATCCATCCACAACACCAACCATTCGTGGAACCTTTTACTTACACGAGGTGGTCGAACATTGATTGGAAGATTATACTCTTTCTATAAGCGTAAATTCAGACCTTAAAAAAAAAGGAGTAAACTAGAAGCCATGTTGTATCCAATAACCTCAAAGATCTGTGTTATTTGTTTGCTTGCACATAACTAGGGGATTACACGATTCGGAACCGTTTACTCGCCGACGTGGCCATCTATGCCACATTTCCTCATCGAAGCCAATAATGTTGAAATACACGACCCAGAGGACATTGAGGAGCTGTGAATATTATGCCACCGTATCTGGGATGCCAGTTACATGTATTTGGGGTTTCTGCGGAGTAGATGGCAGGTTTGTTTCTTGGTTTCTTCGGACTCTTCGTTTAAATCCATAAATATATATATACATTTATGTATACACAAGCATAATATAACTATCAGTTAATAAATAGCCCGATTAAATCCGAATCGGAAAACCATCTCGGAAAAGTAATCCTCAGACGGGTATTTTCCCGCATATCCCAACACCGGAAATGGAGAGCTTTACTCTGCATCGACACCCCTTGGGAACGTTGTGCGAGGGAACATAAGATATAAGCTTGTGATAGGGGAGGGGTGATTGAACCATAATAAAGTTTATGTCACGTAATGATCAAGGTCTTGGCCTGGATATCGACAGCTTTATTCCCAGCAATAATAGAACTAATACAAGACCAACACACCTTTCGATCCTTCTTTTGGTCTATCACATCCTGTGTCAGTATAACAATATGATTTATTTGTAACCTAACGGCGGTCAATGCTGTCTCGCTAGCCAACTTCCAGTGGCAAGCGCAATAGCAATATGTTTTGGTGGGTCTATAAGCTCGTTCCAGTTGCCAACACATAGCAGGGGCCCAATCCCTGTAGAAACCCAGTCTCCGGGGTTGGTATGAGAGCAATTTGGGGAGTATTCCATAGATAGGATACATTTTTTAGGATATTCACATCAGCGACCATTCTCTCTGATCGTGGATCCATGCAACAGCTTCCACGCAGCTTCCACGTAGGACGCTTCCTGGACACGAG